ACATATCGGGCATTTTCTTTGAAACCTCAATACTCCCCTTCATTAAGGAATAAACTGGGCTCTGCATACTTGGATGTCTGAGTTCCCGCGCGTTTTATTGCCCAATGCCTTGGTGGTGCTTGGGGGCCTTGGGGTTCTACATGAAACCCTAAACCCTAAACCCTGAACCCTAAACATTGCCCAAGGCTTTAGTGATGTTTTGGGGTCTTGGGTTCTACATGAAACCCTAAACCCTGAACCCTAAACCCTAAACTCTCTTCGGGCAAGCTGCGCCCCGGCGCTTCCGAATCAGGAACCTCTGAGGCGTGGGTCTCCATGGGTATACTCACAACTTAATTCACCAATACCCAACCCTCTAAGCTTTTTGGGGTTCTTATCGTTTAGTAGCAATCTGAAAGTTTATCCTTTTATTTCGCTGGCTTATTGGGGAAATAAGATAATCGGGTTGTCAGAGAGAGGGACCCCAAACACGTAGATCTTTTGGGTGAGGCTTTGCCGAGGTCTCGGGGCCGTATGGAGCCCGATGGTATCTGTATCAAGAGCCTGTGAAACCCGTTACTGCCCTGTAGCCTACAGCACCGCTTGTAAAAGCCCTCCCCTAAACCCTAAACCCCTAAACCCTAAACTTTCCGGTATGGAATTCTAGCGCTTAGGGCTATACTGTAGAAGCCTAAAGAAGTAGTAAGATCATTCTTTAGGGTTCCTAGCTATAGGATTTAGGGTTTAGGGATTTAGGGTTCCATTGTATACGCCCCGAAAGCTTGTTCTACTTACCAAAAGGCACCCTACTCATACCCTAAGCCCCAATACATTGGTTTCAGACCTCTTAAATGGAACCTGGGTCCTTGTTGGATACAATTTCACATTTTTTGTTATCATAAAAACCCAATAATAAGGATCAAGAATGATCATTTTTAATATAGCCCCAACAGGGGGCCTGGAACCCTTACCAGGAGCTCTACATGGTCTAACTATTGAGGCCCCGATATTCGGCAGGGTCGGGGCTTCTCTTGTCTGCGTTCTTGTTAGGGGTTTCAATTTAAGTTACCATGATCGGGATCTATAGGGTGTAGGGTTTAGGGTTTAGGGTTTAGGCTTATGAAGGTTTGGTGGTACATTGTACTATAACTAGGTTCCTGAGTAGGACCCTTTTGCACGTTTTGCTGTTATGGTTCCCCTATTTAAAGCTGAATAACGGGAAAAAGGGTACCCTTATTATTAAGGGGTCACTCGGGAACCTAGTTAAGGGATTTAATTTAAGTTACCATACTGGGGATCTATAGTAAACATACGGTTTCCTTATTTTGGTCACTTAAAAACACCTAAACCTTAAACCCTAAAACCCCTAAACCCTAAGCCTTAAAACCCTAAAGCCTTAATCCCTTGTTGTGGTAACTTAATAACCCCCAAACCCTAAACCCTAAAACCCTAAACCTCCCTAAACCCTAAAACCCCTAAACCCTAAAACCCTAAAGCCCTAAACCCTTATTATGGTAACTTACACAAAAAATCCTTTGAGAAGAACCCAGAGACTCCAAAACTCCTTAATTAAGGAATATACCTTACATCATAATATTAAGGTCCCTATCATTTAAGTTAAGGGGTATTGGGCTCTCTGGGCGAACCCAGTTCTCCAGAGGAGATGGAAGTGACAGTGCCGCAGACGACGACGCCACCTGCCGAAGAACTGGGATCTCGAGCTTTTGTCGGTTCAGGGTTTAGGGGTTTAGGGTTTAGGGTCTAGGGTTCAGGGGTTTAGGGGTTTAGGGTCTAGGGTTCAGGGGTTTAGGGGTTTAGGGTTCAGGGGTTTAGGGAGGTTTAGGGTTTAGGGAGCTTTAGGGGGTGGCGAGAGGCGAACATAAGGATTCCATGCGGGCTACCGTGACAAGGGTTGCTTTGAGGCTTCCTCAAGTTCTACTCTCGGGTCCTTGGTACGGACTTGGGCTAGCATAAGACTGACTGATTCCTAGTAGGGAATGGGGGAAATGGATCCCTATGACAGTCCCTTAATGCTACAGTAGTCCAAAAAACCCATTCCTCCATTCCCTACTAACCCTAAACCCTAAAACCTAAACCCTGAGCCCCTAAACCCAAAAACCCATTCCTCCATTCCCTGCTAAGAACCAGTCAGAAGAGTTTGGGGGTTTTAGCTCGGGCCTAGCCCGGGTCGGGGCACAGGATGGTCTGCGGATTTCAACAAGAACTTCGTTCCCCAAGACCCAACCCTCTAAGCTTTTTTGGTGTTCTTATCGTTTAGTTGTAATCTGAAAGTTTAACCTTTTTATTTCACCGGCTTATTGGGGGAAGTCAGAGAAGGTTCCATGCAGTTTGAGGGGTTTAGGGTTTGGGAGCCTAGGGTGCCTGAGAGTTGTTCTGACAACCCGTGTAACGCCCCTCCAAAACCCGACAATAGCACCCTTTAAAGCAAACCCTCGTTAGGGACCCCCTAAAGCTGAACATAGACCCTACACAAAAGGACCCCTATTCCCATGCCCCTTGGAGGAACCAAGCATCGAAGCCACCCCAGAAAAAAAGAACTAAAATATATGGGAGCGCTGTTTTTTGGGGGCGTTCCATGTGTTGGATCCTTAGGGGGGTCCTTTCAAGGTTCCTTTTCCTTTCAGGGTTCCATAAAGGGGCCCCTTTTGAGGCGTTTCCGTTTGAGGGACCTCTAGTACACAGAGGGTTCCCTGAAGGAGGTCGGGGTTAGGGGGACCTCACATGGCTAGTTCTCTAAACTAGGGCCCCGTTTAGGGTCCGTTGTTTAGAGGGGTGCCGTGCTATGTTGTGGACACCTTGAAAAGGGACCCGAAATTTAGAGAACTACCCAAAAATAGAGCCCTCATAGTGCCCTTATAGAAGCCTTATAGGAAGCCCTTGCTTAGAAAACTATCCATATGCACTCCGCTGTGTGCCCAGAACGGCGGCGGAAGAGGACACGACAAGGGCATCGAGCACCACTGCTGCTGCCGAGGAGACCCCTAGAGTTTAAGGGCCCCGTTTTCAGGGATCTACCCAGAGACTCCAAAACCCCTTAATTAAGGAATATACTTTAACTTATAATTGAAACCCTAATAAGATTTAAGGTATATTCCTTAGTTAAGGGGTTTTGGAGTCTCTGGGTATAGGGGTGCTATAAGGAAGGGTTTAGAGGGATCTTGGGACTGAGTAGGTAGGGTTATACGTACCAGAATTGCGGTAAAGTCTAAACATATGATCCTCTATTTAGGGGATTCGTATTCATGAGAGCTTGAAACGATTTTGCAAGGGCTTTAGTGGGTTTCTGGATTTTTTGGTGGTCTGAACATTGAGTGGTACTGTCACCCTGTCGTCCCTACAGACCCAGAGACTCCAAAACCCCTTAATTAAGGTATATACCTTAAATCGTATTAGGGTTTCCATTATAAGTTAAGGTATATTCCTTAATTAAGGGTAGCCTCTGGGGAATTGCCCCAAACCCCTGCTCTGAGCGTAGCTTGGAAGATCATGCGGCGCCTCTGGAGACTCCTAAGCCTGCATAAAGGGGTTGAGGGACGGTTTCGGGGTTTGGGGGTTCAGGGGTTCCTATATAATTTGGTGGTCCAAAGCCCGGCTGTCCTATTTCGATGTCTCTCAAAAGGTAGTCTTATTCTGAAAAGTTTGAAGTTTCAAGCCCATGGGCACTTGGGAAATAAGATAAGAGCTTCGTGAAGGGCCTGCCTGAGACTGCCAGCTTTCCAGCCAGCCACGAATTGAGAAACGACCAAAGAACCTTCGCTGGGAGACGGTTCCTGAATATGGTCAGACTCTAATATACCCCCCCATACTGGAATGTATCGTCATACTACAACATGCACCAGAACTGGAAGATGATCACACTTCAATGTACCCCCAATTCGAGGAAAGTAACAGATGTCTGACGCAAACGTTCGTTTTGGATTCATCCACAGGCGTTTCGAGAGTCTACAACTTTTGGCCACTGTTTTCGTTTAGCAAATCGCAGACGTGTGCAGCATCGCAGCAATATCCGGCCCACTACTGTGATGGTTTATGTAGCCACATGAGCAAAAGATTCCACATCGAACGGAGCAGGAGGTTCAGGCAGTTGTAAGTTCCAATGCTACAGTGAAGCCGCCTGGACGTATCATGAGTCTCCGGCTGCTTCCAGAATGCGTCGTGTTTGGAGAACTTCTGGGCAAGAGCTCGCGGTCGAAGACGCTGTGGTGTGCGAGGATGTAGCAGCCTTGAAGAACTATCTTTGTGACATATATGGTTTCCCTGTGTATCTGCAGCAACTTTTGCAAGGTGGCTGTGTCTTAACCAACGATGTCAAGCTAGATGCCCACATCGATTTGCAGTTGGTGCTGCTGACCATCGATGGCCTTCCGCCAAGTCTCAATATCCAACGCTTGGTGGAATTAGATCTGGCAAATGCTGCTCGACTGAATCGTATTAACATAATCCGCTGCTTGCTGGAAGCTGGTGCTGATACTGATTGCTGCTGGGACCATGAAGGCATGACAGCGCTGATGCATGCATCTAAGAATGGCCACTTGCAGGTTGCACGCTTGCTGCTTCAAGCGAGTGCTGACAAAGATTGCCGTGACGATGACGGCATGACAGCACTGATGCACGCAGCCGACGAGGGTCACTTGGAGGTTTTGCGTTTACTGCTTGAAGCTGGTGCTGCTAAAGACACCTGGTCACACTATGACGGCAAGACCGCCCTGATGCTCGCAGCCAGCAATGGTCACTTGGAGGTTTTGCGTGTGCTGCTTGAAGCTGGTGCTGACAAAGACGCCTGGTCACGCTACGACGGCAGGAATGCCCTGATGCTCGCAGCCGAAGAAGGTCACTTGCAGGTTGCACGCTTGCTGCTTGAAGCGAGTGCTGACAAAGATGCCTGGTCACAGTGCGACGGCAGGAACACCCTGATGCTCGCAGCCGACGAAGGTCACTTGCAGGTCGCACGCTTGCTGCTTGAAGCGGGTGCTGACAAAGATTGCTGCGACGATGACGGCATGACAGCGCTGATGCTCGCAGCCGGCAATGGTCACTTGGAGGTTTTGCGTTTGCTGCTTGCAGCTGGTGCTGCTGAAGACACTTGGTCACACTACGACGGCAAGAACGCCCTGATGCTCGCAGCCGACAAAGGTCACTTGGAGGTTTTGCGTTTACTGCTTGAAGCTGGTGCTGCTAAAGACACCTGGTCACACTACGACGGCAAGAACGCCCTGATGCTCGCAGCCAGCAATGGTCACTTGGAGGTTTTGCGTGTGCTGCTTGAAGCTGGTGCTGACAAAGATCCCTGGTCACACTACGACGGCAGGAACACCCTGATGCTCGCAGCCGACGAAGGTCACTTGCAGGTTGCAGGCTTGCTGCTTGAAGCGAGAGCTGACAAAGATTGCTGTGACGATGACGGCATGACAGCGCTGATGCTCGCAGCCGACAATGGTCACTTGGAGATTTTGCGTTTGCTGCTTGAAGCTGGTGCTGCTAAAGACACCTGGTCACACTACGACGGCAAGAACGCCCTGATGCTCGCAGCCAGCAATGGTCACTTGGAGGTTTTGCGTGTGCTGCTTGAAGCTGGTGCTGAAAAAGATGCCTGGTCACACTACGACGGCAGGAACGCCCTGATGCTCGCAGCCGACGAAGGTCACTTGCAGGTTGCACGCTTGCTGCTTGAAGCGAGTGCTGACAAAGATTGCGGTGACAATAACGGCATGACAGCCCTGATGCTCACAGCCGACAACGGTCATTTGGAGGTTGCACGCTTGCTGCTTGAAGCGGGTGCTGATAAAAATTGCTGCGACGATGACGGCATGACAGCGCTGTTGCTCGCAGCCGACAAGGGCCACTTGGAGGTTGCGCATTTGCTGCGAGTCAAACGGCGCTGCCAGCGAAGGTGGATGGCTTGAGTCATTGTAAAGTCCCCCGGCTGACAATGCCATGGGCGTCGGAGTGCAGGGAAGATGTCTCAGCTTCACCGAGTACTATAGGGGCCTTTACAATTAGAATAGGGTTTTGGGGCCCATTATACTATAATTATAATAAGGAACCCCCAAAATATTATAGGTAACTATTGAGGCCCCTCCTCTTCCGGTCGAGTTGCTTGCAGCACAGGTGTCTTGACCGTCCAAAGATGCCGACAACCATTGTTTCAGCAATAATCTAGGGGCGTTTTTATTACCTATGTATATATATATATATATTCAGGCCCCTGCGTTACGCGCACCCTCAACTTTAAGTCAGACAATTTCCTCAGATTGTAAATGCCTCAAGCTTGAACGAGCTCCGTTAAGAAATGGTCTTGCCAGCCGAGTCAAACCCCCCTGGAAGGTCCTAAACCCTACATGGGGTTCCTTGAGCTCATAGAAGCCGTCGCATGGCTCTGTGAAGGCTGAACCCTGATCCTGAGCCTACACTTTGGGGGTTAGGATTTCGCTTTCAGCGCTTAAGGGTTTTCTATAGGACATTTTCAGGTGGGTAGTTACCGTTATAGGAGCCTTATAGAAGGTCCATGTACCTTATAGAAGCCGTATAGAAGCCCTATAAACCCTGAACTCCCCGCCTGTAGTTTCCTTTAAGGTTGGGGGTGTCGGGTTTCAGGAGCCAGTTTGAAGCCCAGGTGGTCCGGCGGCCGGGGTGCTGGGCATGGGGTTTTAGGGGTATTTTGTATGAACAGCCCAAGGACGGGACTAACCCCTAAACCCCTAAGTCCCTAAACCCCAAACCCCTAAACTCCTTAACTCCTTAAATCCCTTAAACCCCTCAAGCCCCTAAACAACTAAACCCTAAACCCTCATAGTACCCTTATAGATCCCTTAAAAGGGCCCCTACACAAGTGAGTGAAGGAGATGGCGGAGACCACAGAGGCCGCAGCGGACGGGGACGCGGGGGGCCTCAGCGCTGCAGCGGCCTTTTGGGGGTTTAGGGTTTAGGGGTTTAGGGTTTAGGGGTTTGGGGGTTTAGGGGTTTAGGGTTTAGGGTTTGGGGGTTTGGGGGGTTTTGGGGGTTTAGGGGTTCAGGGGTTTAGGGGTTTAAGGGTTTAAGGGTTTAGGGTTTGTCTTTTGCAGAGAGCCCAAAACCCCTTAAGTAAGGAATATATACCTTAAAAGGGTTCCTTAAAGGGATCTATAAGGGTTTCTATTAAGGGGATGAAGGAATATATACCTTAAGTCATAATATTAAGGCCCCCTATAATTTAAGGCATCTTCCTTAAGTAAGGAGTATTGGGTTCTCTGGCTCAGGGTGTATGGTTTCCCTCAGCGCCAAGGGTTTAGAGCTCTAGGGTGTTTAAGCTTTCGGGTTTAGGGTTTAGGGCTATAAAGGTTTTGCGGTGCATTGTGCGATAACTCTACTACGGCGGAATCCAGCTAGTACTTGCATTTATTTGGTGACAGCCTTAAAATCCCAAAGCCTCAAACCCTGAAAGGCCTAGGCCCTAAACTGGGGTCTTCTGAGCGTTCTACCGGGTTTGCTGGGCGGCTCGCATGGTTTTGTAAGGCTGGCTTGAAAAAGGGTACTTGAAGGATCACAGGGAGTCGTGAGTGGGGTTATAAGGCTCCCCTTAAGAGATCTATAGGGGTTTGCTACAAGGTTTTTGGGTTTTAGGGTACTTGAAGGACCACGGGGATTTGTGAGTGAGGTTTGAGTTCCTTGATTGGGGGGGTTACAAGCAAGGACCCAGAGACTCCAGAACCCCTTAATTAAGGAATATACCTTAAATGATAATAGGAACCCTAATAAGATTTAAGGTATATTCCTTAATTCAGGAGTTTTGGAGTCTCTGGGGAGTTCTAGCTGTAGGTACCTTGTTTATGGCACTCGTTGCTAAGTCCCCTCATCCTCCAAGCACTGTCGGGAGTTACAGGGGCTATTCACCGTTTCGGGCGTTAGGGTTGAAGGGTTTTGGTTGCAAGTAGAGTCACAGGTGCCCTCTCAGGAACCTTCAAAGCATCCATGAAAGTAACCTTACTTTATTCGCTTACTTCAGGAAGGATTATGGGACATGCTGTTGATGATATAAATCCTGCATGACCTTACGGACCCTAAACTATGGGAGTTATGGGTATATTCCTTAATATGGGTCATGCAGGATTTATACCATCAACCGTAGCAACCCAGAGAACCCAATACCCCTTAATTGAGGAATATACCTTAAATCATAATACTGAGGCCCCTATAATTTAAGGCATCTTCCCTTAATTAAAGGGGTATTGGGTTCTCTGGGAATCTTATGTTAGGCTCCTTCAGGTACTCTCAAGAGGTCCGTAACAACCTAAACCCTAAACCCCTAAACCCTAAACCCTGAACCCTGCCATCCTCACCCTCAAAGCCCCAGGGTCCAAAAAGAGACCACGGATGATTTAGGGTTTGAGGTGTTAGGGTTTAGGGTTTTAGGGTTTGGGGTTTTAGGGTTTAGGATTTTCGAAAAAAAACCCTGTGCCCTCCAGAAAGCGATATGGAACCCTTATGGAACTTTTGTTAAACTCTCATAACCCGTATTGCCTGGCCAGGACGATGCCGGCGACCCATCCGATACGACAACAGAAGAATCGGCAGAGAGCCCTGCCAGCCAGCCCTTTGCAGCCTGAGATACAGTGAAATCCCTGTAAAAGAAGCCCATCCCGCGAGAGTAGCCCACCCTAAGGTTCTTTTTTTCCATTACCTCTGACTTTATCAGCTGAGGAGTTAGGGTAGGCTAAAGTTCTTAGTCGCGTTCTAATTTAGACATAGCAAGTACCTTGAGCCAAAATGGCCGCGGTATTTATCCTCCCCTGCCGCGAACCACACCCCTGCCTGCCGCTGCCGCAAAGAATTAGTGTCTGACACCAATTGGTTTGTGCCTTTGCCCACCCCTGCCTGCCGATGCCCCAGGCGCACTAGTTCGTTTTTGCCTTTGCCCACCCCTGCCCCTCGCCCCTGCCTGCCGCTGCCCCTGGACAAAACGAAATAGTGTCTGACACCAATTCGTTGTTGCCTTTGCCCACCCCTGCCCAACCCCACCTGCCTGCCGCTGCGCGGGGCAAAAACGAAGTAGTGTCTGACACTCATTCGTTTTTGCTTATGCTGGGGCAAAAACGAGTGTCAGACACCAATTCGTTTTTGCCCCCGGGAAGCGGCAGACGGGGGTGGGGGTGGGGTTGCACCAACCGCCCAACTGAGAACCCTTTCTCCTAAGGTGTTTATCTCGGGTGTTTGCATAACAAGCCAAGCCACAACGAAATCATTTGCACCCAACAGAAAATAGGAACCTGATCCCAAAAGCTGGGGTACCCTACGGTTCTCAATTTTGAAAGAACCTCAATTGTGTGAATCCGGCCGGGGGTAGGGGCTAAGGTGCTTAAACAGTGTGTTCTTATACAGGAAGTTCACTATAATACAGGACAGGAATCAGAATACTTGGTAGTGCGCAGGGCCCCATGGTCTGTAGATATTTCTATTACATGACACTTAAAGCCCGATTCCAAATATGAAGCCCCCGGCATTAGATATCGAAAGTTCTTTGGGCGATTTCCTAAAGTCTAGGACTGTAGATTTCATGGTGGGTATGGGCTCCTACGTGTGTATCAATAATCGTGGGCTTCTGTAGATTTCGAGGTCTTCTTTGCGGTGTCAGGGTTCTGTGTCCTCCTCCTCGCAATGAGGATCCTGCTGTTGAGAGTTCAACTGGGTCCTGGATACAATTTTACAGTTTTTGCGATCATAAAACCCAAAAAAAGATTAAGAATGATCATGTCCAATCTACTCCCAAGAGGGAACCTCACGATGTACGGGGTCTTTCCGTTTTCTGATGCTCACTTTTGAAGGCTTTGGGTCGGATGGCTAGTTCCCCAAATGAGGGTCCTTTTGGGGTCCGTTTAAAAGGGTGCCGTGCTGTACTGGGGACCCAGAAAGGGACCCTACCCAAGGAGTTTGGGGCGTGGGCTTCCGGACTTAGCCGGGGGCATGAAAGGGGGGCCTAAATACACAGAAATAGAAATCTTCCTCCTTACTGTTTCCTGAGATGACCGTAGTATAGGGAGTCCAAAGCTAGTCCAAGAGTTCAGTCTTCCAAATACCGTGGGTTGTTGTTGGGGGTTTGGCATGTTTTGTTGCTATACAAGCTGACATTTCACCGGGTTGCTAGACACTCAAGCTGCGAGTGTGCATGTGCGTGCGTGCGTGCGTGCGTGCGTGCGAGCGTGCGTGCCGTAGGCCCCAAAAGAACCCAGGACAAAGTTTGGAATGCACTCGGCCCATCACCGATAGCTCAGGACCACCACCACGGAAGAGGAGGAGCGGCTTGAGCTCTCAATGCTGACAGCAGCAGCACAGAACCAAAGCAGCAGGCATCTGCAACCCAACTAGGTTCCTGAGTAGTACTCGCCCTTTTTGCTGCTATGGTTCCTTGTTAAAACTGAACAACAGGAAAAAGGGTACCCTTATTAGTACGGGGTCACTCAGGAACCTAGCCAAATGCAGCACGAGCAGTGGCAGTTGCAGCCGGAGTAGGAGTAAGAGAATCAGCAGGGGTGGTTGTTGCGTCGCCGTGCGAGCACTAGCACAAGGTCCGTGAGCATACTACCATGCAGTCATGTCTACCGGGTACCGTGACTCCCAGAATCGCACATCGACAGCCCTGTGGATTCGGCGGATCATGTATGATACTGTGACCTTAAGGTTATGGGAGATATGGCATGATGGCAATTACGGTATATTCCTTATTATGGGTAATGCAGGATTTATATCATCAGCCGTATGGGGGGGGCTCATCGCAGAACATCATTCAGTCCATGCCTCTTTAGACTCTGCCTGCTTCTCTTCGACCCGGCTCCAGCGCATCATCAGCTCTACCGAGAACGAGCAGCAGCCTGAAGCCCTCCTTATGTTATGAGCTCCCACATAACCACCCATTATTGCATAATGTAGGGGA